CTATGTCTTTGCAATTCCTTCTTTATTTTTTTTTTAACTCATTAGTGGCTAAAGCACTTGACTGCTAACCAGAGGGCTGGCGGTTCAAACCCACCAGCCACTCCTCGGAAGGAAGGTTGGGCAATCCTACTTCCGTAGTGATACTGCCTCGGAAACCCAAGGAGGGGTCGCTATGAGTCGGGGCCGACTCGATGGCACATAACAACAACAACAACATTATATTATACTTTCATTAGTCTTTTCTTTCTTCAAAGATGTTTGTCTGTATCCTTAGAGGCTGGTATATCTTATCTTTCTAGTGTGAGGACCAAATATTTTTAACATTTTCTAAATTTTATGACCACTTTCACGATTATATTCTTTTGTTGCTTCATGGCTTATGCTTTGAAACCTTTTTTTTTTTTTACCTTGAGTAAAAATGTTTTTACTATTATATTTTATTTAAAAATGATTAGTTTTTGCTTTTGTCATTTAGATCCTTTATCCAAGTAGTATTTTTTTCTTGTTTGGTCTGTGTTATAAAATAGTTATCTAAACTTAATGTTATATACACATTTTACACATGAGGATAATCGATTGTATAGCATCATATATTGAATAGTCTGTACATTCCCTATGGATTTTTAGTTGTGCTTTGGTCATTTATCAAGTAGAGGTTTAGTTTATAGATACAAAGCTGTGCCTGTGACCTTCTGCCATCCTAGGCATACAACTTCCTAGACTATTGCCCAAGAAAAAATGGGCAACATTTTGCTTTCAGGTGTTGTTCATAAACGGATAACCCCACCCCAATACTGGCTTTCAGGCAGTGAACCTCACTCTAGTCACCAGCCTCTTATGGAATATTTCTAGTACCCATTGCCTACAAGGAGTGGAACTCTGATGAAATACTGTTACTCATTTCTTACACAGGAAAACCTGTGAATTATGAAACTCAACAGGACTGCCTTGTTTTTCTGGGTCTCACAAGTTTTCTGCTTTTGATGGTATGCAGTCTTACCACTTTTCTGTCAATAAAATAAAGTGGAAAATATATGAGTTTTCCTTCTCTGACAGATTTCCCACTGGCTTTTTCTCATTTTACTACGTAGTTTTCAAATTCCTACTCTTGTCTTTTATTAGTGTGTGGCTCATTCCTCTAACTGTTTGCATTCAGAAAAGTCTCTGAGTAAGTGAATGAATGTCATCTTAAATCATTGGTTCTACTTCATCAGTATTTTTTTATAAAATACTACATTATTTTTAAATAGTGCCATAAAAAAACAAACTCACTGCCATTAAGTTGATTCTGACTCATAGTGACCCCCTTTGGTTTCCAAGGCAGTAAATCTTTGTGGAAGTAGATTGCCCAGTCTTCCTTCCACAGAGTGGCTGGGGGGTTTGAACCATCAGCCTTCTAGTTAGCAGTCAAATGCCTTAGGCAGTACACCACCAGAGCTCTGAATAGTGCCATATGAACTGGAAAAAAATAAATTTGCTTATGATGAGGGACTTTACTTATTGATATCTATGATTTGTTCCAGTTTAGAAGTTTTACTTCTTAGGATTCGTTTATTTATTTATTTATTTATTCCAGTTTAGAAGTTTACTGCTTAGGATTCTAAGTGTATATATACCTATATACACATATAGGTATACAGTCAGTTCTCCTTATCATGGTACTTATGTTCTATACAGTTACTATGAATAGTGAACTACTGATCTAGGAGAAGTATAAGGTTAGCTTTCTGCAAACTCCTAATCACAACATTTTCTTCGACAGATCAGTATGTAACCTGTTTCATGTGTGTTTCTGCTTAAAACTACCTTATTTAATATATATTGTCAGTTTATTAACCACTGATATTACAGCCAACAACACTGTTGGTAATGCCTGAATGAAGTTTATCTAACAAAAATATTTTCTCTGTAAGGCACATCATAGCCCGCTTGTACATTTGACAGAACTTCAGCACGATGCTTAGAGCCATATTAAACAGCAAAATCACCAACAAAAAGAACAAAATGTGGCACTAAATGGAACCAAAAAAGGACAGAGCATCATCTTGGTGACCATGGATATGTGCACATGAAGCAACTAAAAATTTTCCCTACTCTGCACGTGTCTGAGAATGACCCCTAAGGCATTACTCATAATAAGGAGTTACGCATAAATTTTAGCAGTTTGGTGAATTTGCAAATACAAAATCTGTAAATAGAGGAATGATTATAAATAATACTTACTCAATTAGAGCATCCAACCCATTAAGTTGTTCAGTTCTATTAGCTATTCATTTGTTTATACGTAATCATACTTATTATCGTAATTTGAAGAATTATAGGTATATAGTCTCATAGTCAACAATCCCTGGTGGGTAGTGGTTAGAGCAGCTGGGCTGCTAACCAAAAGGTTAGCAGTTCAAACTCAACAGCCACTGAACATGAGAAACATGTGGTAGTCTGCTTCTGTAAAGATTACACACTATGGGCAGTTCTACTCAGTTTTGTAGGGTCACTATGAGTTAGAGTAGAATTGACGGCAGTGCGTTTTGGAGTCTCATAATCATAGGACAAACTAAAGGTATTATTTTAATTTTAGATCTAATTTTAAAAGGGATCTTGCTTATGACCAAGAGAGGAGTAAAGAAGAAATATTTACTGAGAAATGTTTGCTAGCTATTATGCCTACAGCTTTGTATAAGCTCAGTTGGTAGATACATAATTCTGCTTATTTAAGATTAGGCTACTTAAATCTTTTACTTTCACATTTATAAAGAATATAAATGTAGTTTTTAAAATAATAAAATGTACTTGGTTCTTCACTGTGCAGTTTGCTGTTCAAAAATATTGTACACATTAAGAGAATCTTTGTTATTTATTTTATCGTATCAAATAATATTTTGTATTGGTCTGCTTGTAAGCTTAATAAACTAACAAGTTGTGTTTTTTTTTTTCCTATGAACAGTTTTACTTGAGAAGTTTTTCTTCTATGTCTAATTATATTAATTCAAACTTAATGAAAAGAAAATCTGGTTATCAGCTACACTAATTTTTTCATTAGTTTGAACATATGCACATCTATTCCTTATAAAACTATTTTGGAATTATTTGACTTCAAAGTTAATTTTAAGGCATTAATGAAATAATTTTATATTTTTAAATATTTATGTATTAAATACTTATTTAAAGGATTCCTGGGTAGTGCAAACAGTTCAGTGCTCAACTACCAACCAAAAGGTTGGCAATAGCTATTGTAAAATAATAGCAATAAAAAAACACTGCCATCAAGTCAATTCTGACTCATAGCAACCCTACAGAACAGAGTGCCCCATAGGGTTCCCAAGACTGTAAATTGTTACAGAAGCAGACTGCCTCATCTTTCTCCTGTGGAATGGCTGGTGGGTTCAAACTGCTGACCTTTTGTTTAGCAGCATAGTGCTTTAACCACTACACCACCAGAACTTCTTCAATAGGAATAACTATATATAATAAAATGTGTCCTGAAAACACAATTTATTGACTGTGTTTAGCTAACGAAAATAGAATGCAGATAATTTAATAAAAATAAGATGAGAAGGAGTAAACAAAATGTGTTATACTTAAAATTATTTAACTGATATTATTATTATTATTGTAAAGGATAACATCCAAGAAGAAATCATTGTATTTTGTAAAGGAGATCTCTCTTAAAAATCTTTTCTCCTTATGAAATCAGCACATTATCCATTGGTAGGAAAGATACAGGAGCATTTTTGCTGTAGGATATGAGTACTAGCCAAATACATTAAAAAATTAGTGCACATGCAGTAGTTTTGGAGATTTTAATTTCTTCCATTCTAAATGTGGCTGACAATGTAAATACTTGGGTAGATATAGAGTGTTGTAGTACATGAAACACATCCTTTTTACACAGTAATAAATAAACATATTTTTCCCTACATTGTTTATAATTCATGCAAAATGAATAACTGAATAAGTGAGAATTCTTTAAGTTTTCAATGGCTGACATTACTGTGGGACCATCTCTGTGGTATGTGACCAGCTAAAACAAAAGGCTGGTTCAGAAATCATCGGTAAGCTATTTCTCAAGGCTCAATAGCACCTACAGGAAATTATCATAGAGAAACAAATCACTTAAAATTGCCAGAGTTCATTTCCTTATTCTAGTACTTAATGTGTGACTTCTGAGCAGGTCCCTTAAGCACTGTGCCTCCATTTTATCATTTGTAAAATGGGGATATCAATAACTAATTTGCAGGTTTCTGGTAAGCATAAAGTTGATTAACACATGGAAGATGTTTAGAACAGTGCCTGACATCTAGTAAGTGTTGCACAAGACTTTATATTGGTTTTGTTATTTGTTCTAAATGGCAATTTTTTTGTAATACTCACCACACATGCTTTATGTTGATATATATTCCTCCAGATGGACTATATAGATTGATTTATAAAATGACAAGTAAGTAGAAAATAATTTGTACATGCCTTTTAACAAAAAATAATAATTTTTTTTTTCTTGGATATTACCCTACAGCACAATATTTCATTCATCAAGGTGGCAAATCCCAGTCAAATCTAGACCAGGAGCTCTTGTTCAGTTTGCAGTGCCATGACTGAGACCTTAAGGACTCTCACATTAGACCCAGATGTCCCCTGTCTCCTGGTCACACTTTAAGAGGGTAGGGCATCACTGGGACAAGTGCCAGCTCACAACTTAAAAGTTATACACTAGATTAATTCTCACATTTTAGGCTTTTTGAGTAGATTTCATTAACAAAAGCTTGTCCAAAAATGGTTATTTCGATGGATGAATATTATGCCAGGTAACTGACAGACTTTACAATATGAAGTGGAATTTTTTTTGTAGACACCATTTCAAAACATTTGGAAACTATATAACTTTCTCATTGAAAATAATATTATATGTATTATTATATGTGTAATAATTTAATTTCTCTATCTTTCAAATTTACAAAATTTAAAAATGTGTGTGTATGTGTGTATTATTTTTTTTCCTGTAGAACTGGGTAGATAAGGCTGAAAAACAGGCCCTTCTCTCTGAAACACTTGACCTATCAGAACTCTTTCACCCAGACACATTTCTCAATGCTCTTCGCCAGGAAACTGCAAGGTAATAAAAATGAAATACTTGACTTATTTTTCCTGATGGTAATTATAGAACCAACCCAAACCTAACCCACTGGTCATATGTAGCTATTTAAATCAATTAAAATTATATAAGACTAGAAATTCAGTTTATCACACTAGCCACATATGATATTCTCAGTAGCAACACGAGAGGAGTACTGACATTTGAATTGCATGAAAACTTTTTATTTTTGCAGAATGTTCCGTTGGACAACACTGATTAGACATCTTGGTGGAGAACAGGGCTTGATGGTTATTTAAGATCAAACTTTTTCATAGCACACTCAGACTATCATAACATATATAGACTATAATTTTTAAACACATTACCTTGTCATAAAAGAGACACTACCAAAAATATATTGAACAAATTTTGGTCATTTTTTGGTGACTCAGGGGGCTTTCTAGTTGCACTGCCTCAGGATCACACAATACATATCAATAGTGGTTCAGCTGATAGGCATTTACAGGGTACTTACCGAGTCCCTGGAGTCCCTGGGTTAATATGCTTGGCTTACTGAAAGGTTGGAAGTTTGAGTCTACCTAGAGACATCTTAGGTAAAAGGCCTGGTGATCTGCTTCAGGAAAATGAGCCACTGCAAACACTGTGGAGCACAGTTCTACTCTGACACACACGGGTTCACGTGTGCCGGAGTCAGTTCAACAACAACTGGTTACCTGTTACTATGTGCCTGCAATTTAGTACAGTAATCAAAATGGAGGATGTAAAAATGAAAACAAAAGGCCTTACCCTCAAGGGACTTACAACCTTGAAGAGGAGATTGACATACAAACATTTAACTTTAAAAGCTTGAAGTCAAGTCTAACATATTGTACACAGTTTAATAGCTAATTATTTGTACATTCTAAATATACAAAAAAAAAACCTCACTGCTGTCCAGTCGGATCCAACTCAGAGTGACCCCTCCTAAATTTTAAATAAATGGGGTTATATCTGTCTTTAACAACTCTTCATATTTTAATTCCTAAGGATCATTTCTCTCTGACATTTGATATTTTATTTTTATAGGATAATGGGCTGTTCTGTGGATAGTCTTAAGTTTGTCGCATCATGGAAAGGTCGACTGCAAGAAGCCAAGCTGCAAATTAAGGTAGTAGACTATTTTGAGATGTTTATCTGAGTCTAAAAAAAGGAATTACCACTAACTGTGATCAAGAGATTCTCAAACTTGGGTCTCAGTGTCAGCTATCTTTGTAGTGTAAGAACTGCCAAGATAAATTGTATTATCTATGTAAAAAAGCAAAACAAGTTAATATTTAGCATGAAATGCTTTATAATATAAAATGTAAAATCTTCTGATGCAAAAATAAGAATTCTACAAATACAGCATATTTAAAAAATTAACTTTTGGTAAAAATGATACCAACTTTGAAATTCTTTTAGGTTACCTGTTTGAATATACAATGCAATAAATATTTAGTACACAATGAACTCTATATAAAATGAAGTATATAAAAAATAAAGAAAAAATTACACTAAATCTTTTCCTCAGGAAATTTATAATTTGAGATTAGATTGGTTAACTATTAAAAAAAAACTCGAATGATCTATGATTGATCTATTTCTTTTGTAATCTAGATTTTCCTAGTTAGCTTTCCTGTTAAAATCCATTACTTTTATTATAATAATAACCATTCACACTTTCTTAACAAAACTGATTAAAAACCTGTCATAGAAATATTCCCACAGTAACTTCAACTTTTTTCCATTATCAGTAACCCCTTTCCCCTAACATTCCTTTTTTCCATCCCCAAACAGAATTGTTCCTTTGACATTTTGTCACTGCTAATAAAACACTTTGCATGTTATATTATGATTATCTCTATATATCCATATTGGTCTGTAATGTCATAGAGGACAAAGGCTTTGTCTTACCCTTTTCAGATCCCTAGTCACTCCTCAGAAGGAAGATTGGGCCATCTATTTCTTAGCGATACCACCTTGGAAACCCAAGGAGGGGTCATTATGAGTCAAGCCTGACTCGAGGGCACATAACAACAACAGTATCTAGGAGCTCTGGTAGCACATTGCCTAAGGCATCTAACTGCTAACCTGAAGGTTAGTGGTTCAAACCCACCAGTCACTCTGCGAAGTGAGACGAACAGTCTACTTCCGTAAAGATTTACTGCCTTGGAAACTCATTGGGGATCACTATGAGTTGGAATCAACTTGACAGCAGCGGGTTTGGTTTGGTTTTACTGTGTTATATGTAGTTCAATTTTTTGATCAATTAAATATAACACTACAGTTCTTTAGTTTGGTTAACCATAGGCAGCCTGCTTTCTAAAATTTCCATTTATGTAGTTCTAGTTCCTAGCTCAACAAAGTTTTATTTATGTATTATTTATTTTTGTATTACTACCTTCTGACATACTATACAATTTGTTTATTATGCTTGTTGTTTATTGTCTGTTTTGCTCCACTGCAGTTTAATTCCTATGAGATCAATGATTTTTTTTTCTCAACTTTTGTGGTGTCTCAAATGCCTGAAGCAATACCTAGTACAAAAGAAGCCCTAAATAAGCCCTTGTTGAATTGTTGAATTGAGGGCCTGCAAACAGAGAACACTGTAGTTGGTGTTCTTAGAGTCAATTATAATGTTGTGTTGCAAAAATTTTATTGTTAGTATTGAGCTAGATCTTTCTCTTTTGGCCCTGTAGATAGCTTACTACAAAATTCTCACTTGAATTAAAGGAAACAGAAATGTTCTATTTCATCCCTTTACATTCTATTTTAATCTTAGTCTCTTAACACATGGGCCCAGTTGTCAGAATATGGAGAGAGGAAACAACATGTATAATCCAGGTACCATGGTTGTGTGGTCTCTGGCAGCTGTGAACTACATACATAGTATATATTGTCATTAGTCAGATATCCAAAACCAGAAAACAAACCCACTGCCTTTCAGTCGATTCCGACTCATAGCAACCTCCATAGGGTTACCAAGTTATAAATCTTTATGGAATCAGGCTGCCTTGTCTTTCTCTCGCAGAGCAGCTAGTAGATTTGAACCTGTGACCTTTTGATTAGCAGCCTAATGCCTTTAGGACAATGCCACCAGAGCTCCTTTTAGTCAGATATAACCAAACCCAACCCACTGCCATTGAGTTATTTTTGACTCATAGAGACCCCCCACTGGATTTCCAAAGCTGTAAATGTTTATGGAAGTAGATTGCTTTATCATCTTCCCACAGGGCAGCTGGTGGGTTTGAACTGACCTTCTGGTTAGCATGCAAACTTCTTACCCACTACACCACTAGATATAAACCAAAAACCAAACTCACTGCCATCTGGTCATTTCTGACTCATAGCGACCCCTCCTTGGGCTTCTGAGACAGTATCTCTACGGAAGTAGATTGCCCAATCTTCCTTCTGAGGAGCAGCTGGTGGGTTGGAATTGCCACCTTCTGGTTAGCAATCACATGCCTTAGGCACTGTGCCATAAAAATCTAGAGAAGTGTTTTTTATTCTCTGTCAAGGTGCCTTTATATTCCCCTGTGCTTATAAAATGGGAATAAAGTTATCCAAAGTCAGAAAATCCCAAGCTTATGTGTGGTATATATAAATGGGGAAAAGAGCCTGAGAGTTAGTAAAACAAAATTTTAATCTTTGTTCTCCATTAAAAAAAAAAAAAAAATGACAATTAATAGAGCAACCTGAGCCTTTGCTATCTCATTTATGGAAGGATTTTGATAATATCTACCTAGACACTCTTATGAGGATCTCTAAAATCCTGTATGCATAAGGTTTTTCTTATTTCTGTCATCTCAATTTGGATTGGATTTTATTTAGGCAATATTTATTTCTTAAATAGAAATATATTTTAATATAAAATTCTGTATTTATATCTAGTGAAGCATAATTTTTTATTTTTCATTCAGATTCACAAAAGGATATTTTATTGTTAAAATTAGAATATTCACTAGGAAATACATAAGGATATAAATAAATTTCATACAGCTTTAAATAAAAAATCCATCCCTGTACATGGGAGTTAAGGTAGTTCAACAGATTATTTTTTTCTCTTTTTGGTCCATTCATGTGAGTTATAAAAACACATTTTCTAACTTTTTTATTTGCATAGTCTCCAGATATATTTATTGGGTAAAAAGGGGTTTGGAAGCCTCTTACTGTTCATACTTGGCCAAATCATTAGGTTAAATAATCTCTACAAAACTCACTGCTGTTGAGTCAGTTCCAACTCATAGCGACTCCTCCTTGGGTTTTGAGGCAGTGTCTTTATGGAGGTAGATTTCCTAGTCTTCCTTCTAAGGAGTGGTTGGTGGGTTTGTACCACCAACCTTCTGGTTAGCAGTCAAGTGCCTTAGGTGCTACTCTACCAGAGCTCCTAAATAATCACTGTAGATTACTTTAATCATGTATATTTTTTTCAACAAATGAGAATGTTTCAATACAACTTTAGATTTAAATTATACATGAAATTTACTGTCACTATAGAATTTAATTAGTATTTTTTCAATGTCTTCCACCCTCAATTGAATTAAACCATAAAATGTTCAAGAAAGAAGTAGTTACCAAAACAAATCAATATCTTAAACCCTGTAGACTTAAGAGAACTTGTATATATATTGATTTTCAGATCCTGAACGTGACCTTTTAAAATTTCCTCACTACCATTATTGATTTATTATTTGTTAAACAGCAGTTTTAAAACTTGGTACTGGAAACATACATAAATCAAGTTCCTGTTCAGCTTACATGTTAGGCCTTCCTCAAGGCTGTGAGAGGATTGCTCTGGCAAATCTAGGGAACTCCCAACACCCCAACTCTCTAGTTCTGATGCTGCCACACACAGAAACCAAATCTACTGCCATTGGGTTGATTCTAACTCATAGTGACCATTTAGGACAAAGTAGAACTTCCTTATAGGTTTCCAAGGATATTAATCTTTTAGGAAGCAGACTGACTCATATTTCACCTGCAGAGGGCCCAGTGGGTTTGAATGTTGACATTTTGTTTGCAGCTGAGTGCTTTAACCACTATGTCACCAAAGCTCCTTGCCACACACAAAAAGCAAAACGATCTTCCAGCTGGGCAAACCCACTCATTAAATGCATTAAAGGGCATGTTGATAATGCAAAATTCATTAAAAGCCCAAACCCATTGCTGTCAATTCATTGCCAACTCATTAAGACCCCTTAGGACAGATTCATTAAGTCCCTGAAAGCTGCTGCTCCATTGGGACTTGGTGTTTTAGATAGCTACATATGCTTGCCGGCTGACTTGCCTCATGCCAGGTGGAAGGTCTATTCATAGATCAAATGGTTATCATAATATTCATACTTCATTTCCCTTCTTCATAGAGCTTATATAACAGAAAATAAAAGAGTGAAAAAGTTAGAAATTTAAATATTTGAAGTACACGAGGAGGATGTACACATCTAGAACTGGGGGTTATTAGCCACGAACACATCCTTACCTAATAATTATTCAGATTAAGTCATATGTTTCTGACAGCTTTCATTTTTAAAACTGAACACTAAATGTTAATATATTATATAACTATTATTATAGGAGCTCTGGTGGTGTAGTGCCTAAAGCATTTGACTGCTAAGGAGGAGGCTGGCGGTTCAAACTCACCAGCGACTCCTTGGAAAGAAGGTTGGGCAATCTACTTCCATAGTGATACTGCCTCAGAAACCAAAGGAAGGGTTATTTTTTGAACCATTATTATGAAGTATAGATTGTTTTTAAGAACAGGTGAACTATATAAAAAAAGCTCTTGGTAATATAATTTTCTGTAAATGTAGATCTCTAAAATTATTTAGTATGTAAAGTAATATGATAGAAAATTAATAAAAAAGTGATTTTTCTTAAGAATTGATGAAACTGCAGCAACTAGGTTTTAAATCTTTCTGATATCTTTATAATAATAATAGGTTTGAATGTCTTAATATGTTTCCACCAGTTTAAAGAATTTTTAATTCTTTGTTGACTAACTGTTTAATAACTTTCCCAATTTAATACTATCTTCTGATGTCCTTCAAATATAATAAAAGGCTTAGAACTGACTCCAATTTCCTACTTTAGAAGTCTTTCGTCTACCTTTTTTACTTTATTTGATTCTGT